CCACTGCCAGCTCACTGTTGGAATTAACAGCTTTGCCTGATGTCGATAGAATGTCTGCTTGGACAGTCCCTGCACATTGAAGGCACCCAGGAACTAAAATATGAAAAGTTACATCATGAAATGAGGGATGCACAGACCTTATCAAAACTAACCTAAACATCACTCAGCCTGGACAAGTGCATTCTTGAAGACTACTAAATCAGTCTGACAGCCATTGTCTTGGGTAGATTTAGCCTGAATAAAATAGAAGCACGTTGTTGTTGGAGTTTATAAAGTCAGATAATATACAAAAGAAACTGTCAGATATAGGCGCTTTATAACATTCCTAGTGTGTGATCGTTATTATAACGTAAAAGTCAGTCACATATGATGTGAAGAGAGCCTGAAATGCAACCTCCTGAACAGAATTCCTTACAGAACCGGGTCACGCTTTGGTGTAAAGCTGGATTTCACGCTGTAATACTGTCTGTCAACGAGTGCTGCATTAGAGTCACTGTTAGCAGAATTACCAACTGACACAAAAGCAACCCGAATTTTCTCCGAGCCTGACAGTAATAGTTGTTGAGGGTCTGACCTCATGAGGAAATTACTATGCAGTGATTTTCTCCAAAATGACTGTGCTTAAATTGCTCTGAAAAGCAAATAATCACATCAGCGCCAAGAAACTTCATTTCCCATGATGCTTTGCACACGGAAGCATTGTGATGACGTCACCGCCTAATACCAGAAACACATTCTGTGCATGTGCGGGAGTCACGGAGCTTTCCCGCGAACTCAAGACTATAAATCATCAGGAAAGACAAAGGAACCTCGTTCTTTTGCCCAGGATACCTGGCGGTAAGGACACGCTTGTCGAACGCTCCGACTCCCTTGAGCACGCGGAAGCTCTTAAGTGCCCAAGTTGAGCCACGCAACCGCTGGAAAACTAAACTACAAGCCATCAGGTCTGTTCAACCGCTCGCTGCTCTAGCTGCTGAAGGGAAGAACACAGAACCGGGCTGGAAAAATCAGCAACTCCGTCAAACTCACGGAGAACGCGAAAACAGCGGAGAAAGCCATCAAGCCGACGGACGACGCCAAACTGCGGAGAAACACGGAGAACCGTCAAATCAAATAGTGAGGGATGCTTCACTGTTCTGGTGATCAGAAACTCATCTCCTTCTCTCTCTTTCCTTCTTCCGTTTCCTCTATAGTCCAGAATAAGCAATAAAACTGCGCTATTGCTTAAAAAGTAGCTTCGTGTTTTCCTCTTTCGCTCCCAATACGTCCGTCGGGTCATTTTTGATAGAGAATAAACTGCTTATTGATCATTGTTTGGTATCTTTAAATGTTTTCTGCTTGGCCATGTGGTTAAACTAAAAGATAATATTTGTGATTAATCTTTTGTGTTGTTTCATGATCCTTTGAAATGTTTTGAGTGAATTTAAGGTTAAGTTACTTATGATTCTAAGTGCCTTGGAAGTTAAAGTGCAAGTTGCCACCCACACTTTAGCCAGACAAAGGGGTCAGCCATCTTGTATACAGACTCCATTTTAGAAACACACACACATATACATACACACAAAACACCTTGAACATTATTTTGAATATACATCCTTTTATTATATCACATGGTTATTATTCATTTATGCCACTGTTTATTCATTTGACAAATTGTTAATTAAACGTTATAAAATTCAGATTTTCGTCTCCAGTAGCTTTGTTGTGTCGAAGAGAAGTCTCTGCTCCAAGGATTCTACGAACTTCAAGAAAGACTGATAAGAGTTTTGGATTCAATTTTTCCCCGGTAGAACGGGGTGGTGCCCCATAAGATACGTAAGAGTATCTTAATTAATTAATACATCGGTAAATATTCCCATATTTACAGAATTTATTGAAGAATCCAAAAGTAATTAATTAATTACTAATTACTCGCTCCTAATAACCCCAACATAGTCATGTGGACCGCTTCGTCGGCCAGGGCTTTGAGATATGTTCCGATTCGCCGCTGATTCTAACCTTACATCCCGTTCCACATTTTGTGAACTTGACAAATTAGCTAGAAGGAAGTGCAGACCTAAGTGAACCACGTCTCTCAAACTTTGCATTTAGGTAGGGAATTGAGCTGCAGTATTTCTGCGGTCAGGTCTCTCTACGAGTCTGAGAGCTCCACAAGCGGTCAGCCCCGTCCGAGAGCTCCACAAGCAGTCAGCCCACACAGCAGCTAGTAGTTGCCACATCGGTCAGACATGCACCGGGCTGACCGCCAGGGAGAACCGGGTGGAAGAATGGAACACAGAAGTGTCCCTCCAAGAGCTCCGTCATATTTCAACCCATTTTTATGTTAAATACACTGGGTTTTACCCTTTTACCCATCGACATATGCCCTATTAATTATTTTACCGTGTTTTACATCTAAATTTCATGGTTAAACAGTACATGCTACATGTTAAAATGATAGTTAGCTAGCTACTTCGATAAACTCAGCTAGTTTAAAGGCGGCAGTGACCTAAAATACATATATATAATTTAACTTACCGAAAAAAATGAAGTGGAGACTCCTTGGACGCTCTATTAATGCAATTAATGCCACAGCAAGTCATTTTGTCCAACAATTGCACAAATAATCTCCAAAACAGAATACACAAACAGAGAGACTCAAAATCCCGAAACAGTTTCCAGGCCAGACGAAGGCTCAACTGAGGCCTTTCCACAGAGCTAGTGTGGTCACGTGGGTCTGAGGCGGCGGTCACGTGTGTCGGATGCTCATTAATTATACAGAATTTTAGGCTTTTAATACACTTAAATAGAAGAGTGAGAAAAAAATTCACCCCCCTCAGAGTTGTCATGAGTGTAAACTAGATAATTTAAACAAAAAACATGTTTTGGTACCAGGCTGTAAACATGTTTATTTCTGCTGTGAAATTGGTATTTTTAACATGGGAGTCAATGCGGATTTGCTTGCTTCTGATACCAGCCCCCAGCGGATGAGGGTGGAACTGCAATTTATTTCATTTCCGGGTTTGCCTCAATTTTAGAGCCACACTGTGGGGGCCTGGTTTTTAGGTTATATCCCCTTCTAGCACTCAGTTTAAGGCTCAGATCATCACACAAGGAGATAGAATGGCTATTGACATTTTATATGTTTTGCTGATTTGGTAATTACGCATTGCAATAAAGAATATTGACTCTGTGACTCAATCATTAAATCAAAGTGTTAAAGGCCACTTATTCTCGAGTCTCCTATTTTATATAACTGAATAAAGAATGCTTATTCTTGCATGAAACCGCCATTTATTTACTCACCATGATTTGGCAAATAATGCTTCACATATATTAAAATGCCTTTGACATATTTTTATTAAAGTTGCTAATATGGTCACACTTTAAGGTTAAAGTAAAGTACATGTTTAACAGCTGCATGAGAAGTTACCAGTGTTGCCAACTTAGCGAATTTGTCACCATTTCTAACGCCTTTTCAGACCCCCTTACCGACATTTTTTCAAAAAAGTGCCCAGCGACAAATCTGGTGACATTTCTGACTCCCCTCAGCTACTTTGACTACAACTTTGTTGCAGACTTTACCTGCAGATTAGCGAGGCATCTGAAGCGACAGGACCGTCCTTCCTTCCAGAGGATCAGAAAGAAAATGATCTGTGCATGTGCTTGCAGCATGATCACGCTACCCCCGTTGGCCAATCAAACCTTTTGTGGGGTTTCTTTCACAAGTCCATTATTTGAGATAGCCACCGGAACTACATAAAGGGTGACCCCTCCTTCCGCCATCCTGCCGCATTTCGGCCGCTGAGCTCGGCTGGCACTGGCAGGCAGCGTCGCACTCACACATGGCTTCTAGCACCACTTGTGGTGCATTCAAGGAACATTGGAACTCTATGATGAGTTAAATGACGTAGCACATTTAAAACTTTTATAAAAAAAACAGAATAATACTTTAAGTCATTGGCAGGTCATTGGCAGTTTGCATGTAAAGTTTCTGAATACTAAATACGACCTGGTCTAATGAGCTTTGAAAGAAAAGCGTCTGGACTTCTTTGAGTTGCTTGAAGACGTTTCACCTCTCATCCAAGAGGCTTCTTCAGTTCTAAGGTCAAATGGTGGAGAGTCCCAGATTTAAACCCAGTGGGAGTTTCCCCCCGAAGAGGGAACAAAAGACCCCCTGATGATCTTCTACATAAACACATGAGCCAAGGTGTGAGGGTGGGTGTGGCTCACCTTAGTTTTTCATGCCACAAAACTCCCCCCAAAATTCAATAAATATTGTGAAACAGCACCTCTAAATAAATCACAGAACCACAGCTACAAGACCATGCAAACTATTTTTAAATATTCCAAACACAACTAAAACTACAGTCAAAAGAGTGAACAGACATCCCACTTGTGTGTAGTGGTGTGCATCTCTACCTGCCTCACGATTCGATCCAATTCTGATTATCTGCCTAAAGATTCGATTTGAGTCTGAAATGCATCACCATTCTTCACACAATTTTTCTTTACTTAATAAAAACAGTTGAATAGTTTTCAATTTCTTTATTTCGATATCCCTGAAAAACAGAACATACATCCATTAACTATAGTGACCAACAATTTTTAAAGTGTGCTGATTTACACATAAATCTTAACAATGTTAACCCAAAATAAATTGTATAGGCCTAGCCTACACCTATAATCAGTCTCTTTTGACCTGAGCCTTTTCACTTTTCAGCACTTTGGTATTTCACAGTTTTTGTGTGAGAAGCTTACCCATTAAAAAGTGCAAATTTTAAAACAAAACAATTCCTTTATCTACATTCAAAGCGTGCTAGGTAAAACATGTCTAGCAGCTTGAAGACAAGGAAACTTGAGAACCTGAGATTCAATTTTTTTTTAGAATCACATCATATCGCTTCTAACACAGATTTAAACATAAATCTTAATGAACAATGTAAACCCAAAATACGGTAAATTGCAGAGGCCTAGCCTACACCTATAATCAGTCTGAGGACTGTCTCTTTTAACCTGACTGTACAATAACTGCTTACTTTTCAGCATTTTGGTATTTCAAGGTTTTTGTGTAAGAACACTAGGTGATCGACATGTTCTGGTTTGAGAGTGCTTCTTTTTGCAGTGACAACATCTCCTGCAGTGGAGAATACCCTCTCTGCAGACACACTTGTCCCTGGGATGCGCAAGTATCTCTTTGACAGCTTGGACAGGAGAGGAAAGGTGAACTCATGGCCATGCCACCAGTTCAAGGGATCTTCTGTGAGAGGCAAAGATGGAGCTCTGCAGTAGTTGTACACTTCCTCCTCAGCCCTGGAATAGCTGGTTTTGTTTTGCACTGCAGCCTCATTGTCAGTGAATGTATGTCCAAGCAAAGTCACGAGTAGTGATGATGAGGCCTTCCTTTTGGCAGCAGACTGGCAGGAGGGAACATTGTCCTTCCTGTGCATGTTGTCCTCCACACACAGCATCGCTTCTTCCTGGATTCCTGAATTCATGGCTCCAGCAGGCATTTCATCTGCTTCAGTTTCCTTGTGAACAAAAAGGAGACAGCAAAAAACAGCAGTTAGCACATATCAATTATTAAAACTTTAGGCTTGTGCCCAGCTCCACTCCTTTCTGAACTTAAATCATCTCCTTGAATTAATGAGTTATCCAATTATGCAGTAAGAAAGGAAATAATGTTATTTCGGAAGTAGTGGAACTGGGTAGCATAGCATGCAGCATTTTTCATTGACAAATACAATAAAATATCATTACAAAGCAACAAATAAATAAATATAAATAAAAAGATAAATAAATAAATAAAAATCTGTCTTATAAAAGTTTCACATAACATTACAATTAAGACATTTTAATATTTTCTTTTACTTGAAAAGATTTTACATGGCAAGTGTATTTTTCCATGATGAAATTAAATTACCTCCAATGCTGCAGCCTCTGTCACGGCACTTCTGTAGATCTTCAATCTCTCATCTGCTGTGAGGAAAGGCAGTCCCTTAAAACGTGGATCCAGAGCAGAGGCTGTATAAAGCAACTTCTTCTCTTCCTCAGAGTTGTATCTCTTTAGGAGATCTGTTTTGATGGCATTCTTAATCTCACGGATCACTGGTGAGTCACCAGTGGTGTCTGACATGTCCTGAAGGAGCTGCGCATACAGAGGTGAAATCAGACATACTGTTGGATTCTTCTCCTCTGACATCAATGTAGTGACATCTTTCATTGGTCTTAATGCCTTCACTGCATGCGCTGCGTTCTCCAGTTCTGTTTTGTTGAGAGTGTAATGTTCAGCATCATCTTTTGTGACCTGAGGACTCAGCAGGGCAGCATGGATTGCAGGTTGCTGTTCCAAGTACCTCTCCATCATATCATGTGCGCTATTCCACCTTGTTGCCACATCAGTTTTCAGTTTATGGGTTGGCAGGCCTATATGTTTCTGGTTGGATTGCAACTGGTGGTTTGCAATAGTGCTGTGATGAAAGAATGTTGACACGCGGCAGATTCTGCCCAGAAGTCTGGAAACAGTCTGCAGTTTAAGTGCACGCTGTGCAGCGAGATTCAGTGTATGCGTAAAGCATTTTACTTGAGGGAACTTCCCAACTTCAGCTGCACGTATCATGTTAGACGCGTTGTCTGTTACCAGCACGACATCTTTGTCTGCTAGATGCCATTCATCCACAACTTCAGACAGTAACTCCGCCAGATTAGCAACCGTGTGACTCATACAGAGCTCTTGTCTGGAGCACATGTGATACAAGCTGCCAATCGTTGCTTATATAATGTGCCGTTATTGTTACGTACGACTCCTTTGCAGTTGACATCCATGAATCACATGTAATGGCTACGCGGCTTGCTTTACTCATTGATTCCATTACCTGGGCTTTGGTCTCGTTGTACAATGCAGGCACAACAGTTTCTGTGAAGTGTCTTCTTGTTGGTAGGTTATGCCAAGGCTCGAGCGTCTTCAAAAGGTAGCGAAACCCGGCATTCTCTGCCACAGAATATGGTCGTAGATCTTTAGAAATAAAGCATGCAACAGAACGGGTGATCTTCTTCCCTCTCTCCGAAGCAGACGGTAAAGTTGTCAGCGCTTCTTTAATAGTTGGCTGGGATGTGCTCGCTGTTTTTGTGGCTATTGCTGAAGAAGTCCTCGCAGGGTGGAAATGTTCAAAATGTTTGGACATATTAGTTGTATTCCCAAAGTACTTTAATTTTGTGTGACACACCTTACACACAGTGTGCATCTTGTCGAGCTTTCCGTCTAGCTCATAAAAGCCGAAATTAGCCCAGACATCCAATTTAAATGTAACGGGTGCATCTTTGATCACTGGCAATGTTCCCTCTGTATCTCTGTCCGCCATTTCTGTTTTAAATTGGCGCTAGGGCAACGCAGTGCGCATGTCATTGCAACTCTGCCCCCGGAAGCAGTTGTAAAACCTCAAAACTTTATTGTCCTCGCGCATCCGGAACATAGACATAGACACGGAGAAAATCTCATTATGTCACGTCATTGCATCGATGCAGAATCATGCACAGCCGAATCGTGATGCATCTTAGAATCGATCATTTTTCCCACCTCTACTTGTGTGTCACCACAACTCTGTCTCCAGTGCTGCTAAAATTCAAATTGTTCACACATTATATCCATCCACTTGAAGCTGTGGCCCTACTGATTGTAAACCACGTTCTAAACCAGTGGTTCCCAAACCTATTTAGCCGCGCACCCCCTTCTATGTCCCGACCATGTAGACGCACCCCCAGCCCCGCACATCAGGGCATGGCTATATATATATATATATATATATATATATATATGATCGACCTTTTTCCCCATCACTTTCATTATTTAAATAGTAATTAATAAACATTCAATACCATTACAATTTCCTTTGATTTAATTTTAAATAAATATTTAGAGTGCCCAGGTAGCACATAAACAATGCAATTTAACTTTTTTTTTTTTAAGTAGGAACGTTTCTCCTTCCTTCTGCTCTGCGTAAACCTGAGCTGGTCACCTACTTGTGCATAATCAAATGTCTATAGGGGAAAAGATGGAAAAGCTATAGCCATGAGGTTCACTTTTGCCTCAGACCGACTTATTGCTGTTTTATGGTGTTTCTGAATCTGCGATCCGCTGCCACGTGGATTTGGCCTTGAATGAAGAATGTTGTTATAAAACCTCAAAAGTTTTTATCACGGAGGAGGCAGCGCTCATTTCTGTCTTCAGTCTGACGGCGCGCCGGAGTTTGCGCAGCGTGCGCTTATTGAATCTGTGTGTGTGTGTGTGTGTGTGTGTGTGTGTGTGTGTGTGTGTGTGTGAGAGAGAGAGAGAGATACAGAGGGAGAAAGGGAGAGAGAGGGAGTTAAAAAAAAAAAAAACCCGACCGGAGTGGAGGTAGTGACTGACAACATGTCAGCTCTGTCTTGTCAAATGCACCACGTACGTTACGAAAGAAGTAACTTTAAGGAGCAAGTAACATTTGAATTAACTTTTTTTGGCTGATGAACTGTATAAATGAGTGTCTAATAGTGTTTTAAATGTGTGTATTCATTATTTTAGCATTTTGGTGCATTTTCTTTAAAAATTAAAAATTCTGCCTAAATACCACAGTATAGCTCCACCTTCAGCTTAAAACATAGAATTTGAGTCATTTTGAATAAATTTTAGCCAATGGCTAAAGAGTAAGATACTACGTAAACCAGTAGAGTACTACGTAGCAGCTCTGTGTCAAAGTTATAAAGCATCGAGAGTCTCGGCCACACCTTGTGGCGGGTTGGGAGTTGGATTTGCAAGCGAGTGTCGGACATTTAGCGGTAGTTCAGCATTAGCATATAGCATTAGCATATCCTAGTCTTTAGCATAGCTTTTAGTGTTATAAATACTTATTTAGTGTTAGTTTGGCTGTTGGATATTGTAGTTTACTTAGTGTTTGGCTGTTAGTGTAATTAGGAAAGTAGTTCGGGTTTAGTGCTCCATATCGTGTTAGCATGGTGAGATGGTGTAGTGTAGTATGGTTGCGGAGCTCTGTCGGGTTGCACTCCTTTCCGCTGGACTTAGAAATTAGGCGCCAGTGGTTGCGCGCAATCGGTGTCTGGAAAACATTCAGCTCCCGCCTGGTGCTGTAGTTTGCAACCAGCATTTTACCCGCGATTCTGCACGTCTCCATTTGAAGAGGGAGGCTGTGCCCACCGTGGCTCTTCCGCTGAGCTGCAGCATGTATACGCACCGCCATCTTGCTGACTAATACATTTGTAGTAGTACATTTGTGACAAGGCATTACAGAACTGATAAAAAAACAGTGTCAGATCCATTAGGTTTAGTTGCAATTACCCCCCTTAGTTTTGCTATAAAGATAAAAGATTAAAAAATTTGTTTTTAAATTTCTGTTTTGTACTTTGCTCCAACTTTATTTAACTGCAAATTTGTCAAAACAAGATAAAAAAACTGTCCAATTAAAGAAGAAAAACAAAGATTTGAAGAATTTCAGCGATATTGTCTATGCTATGTCAGCCAGTATTATTTTGGGTATTATAATAAATTGGTGAAAGGTTCAAATTGGGTGTAAATTGTTATTTTATGTTTATCCAAAGCGATGTACAACCAAGTTTTGAACCAGCAACCTTCTTGCTGCGACGCAACAGAGCTAACAACTGCGCCACCGTGCAGCCCAGTGCTTGTGGAACTCGAGGTATTACTTTATACTGTTTGATTTTTTGGGTATCTTTATGTGAGAAATGTCTGCAAAACTAAAAATCACAAACTTTTGAAAATCTAAATATTTTTCCATTTTTTGAGCTATTATTTTAGTAAAGACTAGTCAGTAGAAAACTAGTTCATAAAGACATGTCCAAGTCTCAAGGAGACTCCTGTTGCCCCTTGACACCTTCAAAGCTGACAGGCCTTTCACTTTCTACAAATTTAGACTTATCACTGAATATGGAAGAGGCAGATAAAGGAGATCAGAAATTGGATTAGTCAGTTGAATGATAAGCTAGTGGACAGCCGGTGCTGCGCCTCCGTGGCCTCTCTGATAACAAAGCGAATCCATCCATCTTAACCTCCAAGCCTCTGCTTTGATTCCCCTCATCAAACATCCCGCTGCCCCATTGTTAGCCTTATTTGCTGCCTATCCTGCTGCAGCTATCTGGCCATAACTCTTCACTCTGCTATGTAGTGAGTGGGTCAGCTATTAATTTAGGTGAAGTGCCACTGTGTCAGAGCCTGCTGTTGAGCACAGCAAGGCGAGCCGAGCTGCTCGCTTGAATGAAGAAGACATGCAGCCTGTCATCTTTCAACTGCCAAGCACCCGCACTCCTTTGGGCCTTCTTTACATGCACTTCACCTCCAACAGCGCCTGCAGTGACTAGTAAGACAAATTGCAATATTCAAGCAAAACTATCAGCAGGACACTTACCGAGGCCAAAACCTAGCTGGGGTCATTCGTCAGGTTGACCAGACAGGCAGTTGATGATGGGGGTAATTGGGCAGGGCTTGAGAGGACATGAGCTGTTTGAAACAAACATTTGATTCTTTACACCTATTTTAGTATCTTTTGTTTAGTAAAAAATGTCACAATATATTTCTAATTTTCTTACGTGGCCATTAAATGCATACAGATCAAAGGCTTTACTGACTAGAAACAGTTGTTTATGAAAATTCTCCCAGAAGCAGCACTTTAGATTTAAACCTGAGTTTGAATTTAAATGAAAAGAAGGGTTCAGGATCTGTCTTCATGGGGCGCCTTCCTCTGAACAGACGTCCGTGGGATTGTCCTTAGGTGCTTTCCATGTTCACCAAGATTACACACAGTACAGGTGCTGGCCAGTAAATTAGAATATCATCAAAAGGTTGAAAATATTTCAGTAATTCCATTCAAAACGTGAAACTTGTACATTATATTCATGCAATGCACACAGACCAATGTATTTCCGATGTTTATTACGTTTAATTTTGATATTTATAGGTGACAACCAATGAAAACATCAAATCTGGTATCTCAGAAAATTAGAATATTCTAAAGGCCAATGAAAAATTGTTTGTTTCTCTAATGTTGGCCAACTGAAAAGAATGAACATGAAAAGAATGTGCATGTATAGCACTCAATACTTAGTCGGGGCTCCTTTTGCCTCAATAACTGCAGTAATGCGGCGTGGCATGGACTCGATCAGTCTGTGGCACTGCTCAGGTGTTATGAGAGCCCAGGTTGCTCTGATAGTCGTCTTCAGCTCCTCTGCATTGTTGGGTCTAGCGTATTGCATCCTCCGCTTCACAATACTCCATAGATTTTCTATGGGGTTAAGGTCAGGCGAGTTTGCTGGCCAATCAAGGACAGGGATACCATGGTCCTTGAACCAGGTGCTGGTGGTTTTGGCACTGTGTGCAGGTGCCAAGTCCTGTTGAAAGGTGAAGTCTGCATCCCCATAAAGTTGGTCAGCAGCAGGAAGCATGAAGTGCTCTAAAACTTCCTGGTAGACGGCTGCATTGACCCTGGACCTCAGGAAACAGAGTGGGCCAACACCGGCAGATGACATGGCACCCCACACCATCACTGACGGTGGAAACTTTACACTGGACCTCATGCAACGTGGATTCTGTGCTTCTCCGCTCTTCCTCCAGACTCTGGGTCCTTGATTTCCAAAGGAAATGCAGAACTTGCTTTCATCAGAAAACATAACTTTGGACCACTCAGCATCAGTCCAGTCCTTTTTGTCCTTGGCCCAGGCGAGACGCTTCTTGCGCTGTTTCATGTTCAAGAGTGGCTTGACACACGGAATGCGACACCTGAATCCCATGTCTTTCATGAGTCTCCTCGTGGTGGTTCTTGAAGCGCTGACTCCAGCTGCAGTCCACTCTTTGTGGATCTCCCCCACATTTTTGAATGGGTTTGTCGTCACAATTCTCTGCAGGGTGCGGTTATCCCTAGAGCTTGTACACTTTTTTCTACCACATTTTTTCCGTCCCTTCGCCTGTCTGTTAATGTGCTTGGACACAGAGCTCTGCGAACAGCCAGCTTCTTTAGCAATCACCTTTTGTGTCTTGCCCTCCTTGTGCAAGGTGTCAATGATTGTCTTTTGGACAGCTGTTAAGTCAGAAGTCTTCCCCATGATTGTGGTGCCTTCAAAACAAGACTGAGGGACCTTTTAAAGGCCTTTGCAGGTGTTTTGAGTAAATCAGCTGATTAGAGTGGCAGCAGGTGTCTTCTATATTCAGCCTTTTCAGAATATTCTAATTTTTTGAGATACCAAATTTGGAGTTTTCATTAGTTGTCACTTATGAATATCAAATTTAAATGTAATGAACATTGGAAATACATTGGTCTGTGTGCATTGCATGAATATAATGTACAAGTTTCACATTTTGAA